TAACTCACATTCACGAATGGTCTGACCACCTGCACAAAACATAATTCAAAATGAAAACTACAGTGTATCTTTATTTAATCGTTGTATTGCATTCAACCGTCTTGAATACCAATTGCGATAATGTCTCGAGGTCGTCAGCAGTGTGGCGTTAGGCGGATTAAGACGTTGCCGTGGGCAACCATGTTCACATATTTAATGTCTGCTGCGTTATTTCATGACAAATGAGCCGTTTATAATACATTCAGATAGCATGGGTTATATAATACTGACAATCGGAGTCATTTATCGTCGAGACTATTTCATCTTGCAATAGGTGTTCTTCTGCGCTCTTCTCTATTCTATACCACACATGGTCGCGTGAAAACAGCGTATCAAATAATACATCAGTGTATCTGATAAAAGATAAATAAATGACAAGAACATACGTTTCAAGATGTCGCTGGGAATGGAAATAAGCCTGTCCTCCTCTCTCTGTAAAGCAGGTACCTGTTATTCCTCCATGATGAGCATGTGAATTAGGGAGGGCGGTCGCTTCGGAGCATCGCAATGCAGCGCTGCTGTGCCGCACGGCGAAGAAAGACCCCAGAAGACCTCTCACTCCTTTACATACAGACAAAACTCATATATATATATATATATATATATTCTATAGAATTGTTTTTCCATCATTTGGTATTTACAGGTATGTATTTGCTTTTCTAGAATCAGGGTTCGAAGAGGTCCATAAAGATATTCGGTGGTCCTCATTCAAGGGGCCTCAATAAACTTCCAAGGGGGTACCAGGATAACTTGCTATTATTGAAATTAATAAATTATTAATATATCAAAACAATCTAAATTGAAATGCTAAAAACTCTCCAACACAATAAAATTGTTTCGAAAATTATTATAATAACATTCATTTCTTGAAACTTCTGGAATAACAAAATATATCAATACATAAACAATCAGTTTTGTCATTAAGCAAAAGTATCAACAATGTAGCCTTCAAATATTGTGTCAGAAAACAGAGGGTCTTTGTCACATAAAAAAAAATTGAGAACTACTGCTCCAGTGGGACCACAGATAAAACCTATACACTTAATTATATAATTTATATTCTTGGAATTTTATAAATATTAGACATAACTTTATCATTTTTTTTGAAAAATCTTCTGATGGCAGTCACTGGGTTGGCTGAGAGTCTGGGTGAAGCGTTTGTGAGTCTTTAACGGTTGAAATCTGTTCTATAAGCCATAAATGTTTTAATGTAAAACCAGGTTAGTATATTTGACAGACACTACTATAGATTAACTATGAATAATAAAACCACTTTAATGGTCACAAATAATAATTTTCAAAAAAAATTTGGATAATTTAAACAAAATAAACATATAAAAGCAGATGCAATACTAATAATAAATGTAACAAGTTGAATATGAAAAGCTGAATACATCCATCATTTCATCTAAAGTTATTTTTGATCTACAGTTTTGTAGTTATTTCTTAACTCAAATAAAAATAACAAGTGTTAGTTAAAGAATGTTACAAAGATAAAGAATGTTAATATAAGTAATCATACCGGAAGCAGCATCTCATATGGAATTGAGATGTTAGCACCTCTTAAGGTAATACTGTCCAGATCATTGTAGTGCATGATGACAACTTTCTGCATTTTTTTTTTATGTATCTGAACTTCAGTCTCAGCAGATTTAAATAACATTTATATGCAAATTGGTTTAAATATAAAAACAGACTCAAGGCACTCTGATGTGGATTTAAAATCCATAAATAACAGATTAAACACTGCCTTTGGCAAAAATATAGACCCTTCTAAAGTAAATCTGTAAAATTCAATACTGTACTCTACATTGTAGAGCTTTATATCTGAGAACAGAATCCGTTGCAATGTGTTCTGTGATTGGATTCTATCCTGTCCTCATTCTCTTGTCCTTCCTTTTGCAGCCAGTCTACTACAATGTCTCCATCTTGCTGGACATATGCAGATGAAGCCAGATGATACGCCCTGTCATTAGTGGCATATGACTGATCTGCTGTGTAGGTCGGTACGATGTTGAACATGATGAAACCAAGCGTGATCACCACAAAAGACACAATATACAGGCCTGAGAACTGTGAAAAAGGAAGAAAGTTTCATAAACTTGTAAGAAACTGAAAAATAAATGTGAACAAGACAACTCTCAGTAGGTAAAATTAATTCATTAAAAGATTAATTATATAAAGCAAGTGTCCAAATATCAAGAATCAGTGCTACCACTCAAAATGTCAACACCCCTGGCCAATTATCATTTAGCAAGAGGACTGTTTTGAAGATATTAGAAAATCTTGTCCTGGCATTTTTATTGATTTGCTGAAAATGTAATATTTCCACTCACATTGTAGTGAAAAAGGAACATGCCACAGAAGAGACTGAAGAGGTCGGCAGTCAGCAGTGAGAGGTTCACAGCTGTGGCGCTGGTCATATTTACCACTACAGGCATGAAACTGTACAGCCCATACATGCACAGAGTATATGCAACAAAGAGCAGGCCTACAGAATAAACATACAGGTATTTAGAGTATTTATCAAATAAACAAGAGAACTGGAGTTACTCAAATTTCCATAAAACTTACCACATATATTTATTGGCATTTCCATGTAAATGATGGCTAGATAATTTTATTATAAGCAAATGTCAATGAAAAAGAAACATTTAACTAGAGTTACTCACATATTGTCCAGTTCCAGCTGATGACAGGTATAGCTTTGGATTCAAGTATAGCCCTTTAAAATATAAAAATATATACATTTTAAAATGTAATTCATTCCTGTGATGGCAAAGCTGAATTTTCAGCAGTCATTGCTCCAGTTAAGTGTCACACAATCCTTCAAAAATCATTCTAATATGCCCATTTGCTGCTCAAGTCACATTTCCTATTATTATCATTGTGCTGCTAAACATTTTTGTAGATACCATACTGTTTTTTTTTTTCCAGTTCAGATCATAAGAAAACCATTTACTTGAAATAGAAATCTTTTGTAACATTATAAATGTCTTTACTGTCACGGTTTATCAACTGAATGCATCCTTGCTGAATACAAGTATTCATTTCTTGTGCACAAAAAAAAAAAAAATTTTGAATGGTAGTGTACATAAAGACTCATTTTAAAAATGAGAGTCTATGGCCTGGTTTCACAGATGGGGCTTATCTTAAACCAGGACTAGGCCATAGTTCAATTAGGATTTTAAAGTAATTTTTATAAACATGCCTTAGAAAAAAACATTACTGGTGTGCATCTTGAGACAAAACAAGGGCACTGACATATTTCAAGATCAATCAGTGCAAGTTTCTTTCAGTTGAAACAGCTAAGACTTACATTTTAGTCTGGGACTAGGCTTAAGCCTTGTCTGTGAAACTGGGGGTATATCTCATGGTGTGGGCTTTTCACTTAGAAAATGAGATGGTGGACATAAAACTTACATCTGCACACCACTGATGAGAGTCCCAAAGAGCCCCATCATGCCCAAGAACTCCACCCTGCTCAGGTTTTTCACTGTGTATTCCTGACAGACGTTAGACACTGCGTACAGAGCAGCACTGACCAGCACGAGTCCATCCCCCAACAACACATGACGACCTGCAGTGACGGACACACAAAAAGCCCAAAACCACAGAGATCAACTATTTTTGTACAAGATGACATTTCAAGCAACAAAAACCACAGTCTATGATCAATTCTTCATGTAGCTTCTTTAGTTGTCCTCTTTTTATAATAATTCCTTACATTTATATAGCGCTTTTGTGGGCACTCGAAGCACTTTACATAGAAGGGGGGAATCTCCTCAAACACCACCAGTGTGCAGCATCCATCTGGATGATGCGACAGCAGCCATATTGCGCCAGAACGCCCACCACACACCAGCTTATTGGTGGAGAGGAGACAGAATGATGAAGCCAATCAGCAGATATGGGGATAGTTAGGAGGCCATGATGGTCAGAGGCCAGTGGGCGAATTTGGCCAGGATGCCGGGGTTACACCCCTACTCTTTTTTGAAGGACATCCTGGGATTTTTAATGACCACAGAGAGTCAGGACCTCGGTTTAACGTCTCATCCGAAAGACGATGCTTTTTGTCAGTATAGTGTCCCCGTCACTACACTGGGGCATTAGGACCCACACAGACCACAGGGTGAGCACCCCCTGCTGGTCTCACTAACACCTCTTCCAGCAGCAACCTAGTTTTCTCTGGAGGTCTCCCATCCAGGTACTGACCAGGCTCAACCCTGCTTAGCTTCAGTGGGCAACCAGTCTTGGGCTGCAGGGTGATATGGCTGCTATATAAGATTTATATAATCTTATCTTTTGTAACAGGAATAAAATACCCTCGTGATTTGGCAAATGTTTCATGAGAAGCAAAACAAAAGAATATCTATAAAGCATAATCAAGGTGTAATTAGATTATGCCCCTTTTTGCCCCCTATTATAAAGTACTTACTTGAGCCTTGGTCTCTCCCTGCCAGCAGATCTGCTCCTACCATCGCACCGACTCCAAGCAAGCACACAGCCACAGCTATAAAATGCAACGGTCTGTAGCGAGTTTTCAAGAAGATCCACGAGAGCAGCATCAGAACCGGGATCACAAAGCAGTCCAGCAGCTACAACACAGAAGTTATTATATTAAAGGCACAATTTGTAAGATTTTTTTATTAAAATATCCAAAAACCACTAGAACAGTGTTATATATTTTGCTGACTTGTGTACTTACATTATCCCAAATGTTTCAAAGAATGTTTAAATCCAGAGAAATAAGTAATTTTAACTAGTGATACGGGCCGTGTCCATAGTGTCATTGTGTCGCCTGCCAATGACGTCATAACCCCTCGATTTCCGGTTTTGTTTTGTAGAAAACACCAAAGACGCTTCAATATGTTGTGCGTTTTAATAGACCAGTGACGACCGCACAGAGTAGCATTATAACAGAACTTTCAAATGTATCTAGTATGATAAAACAGCCCTGCTTTTTTTTCCTACATATGCACGACCAGAAGGAGCGGAAGCGGTCGACTGTGGCATAATAAAAGCTCCGCTGCTTTCGAGCCGTGTGTTGCGCTCGTTCAGCGGCCTCGTTTCACTTTGACGGCTTTCAGCCTCACCCTGCTTCATTCTACTACGTTAATAAATCATTAGCTCATCCATGAACATGATTTCTGTCCGAGTCCCGTTGGATTGCATCAGCTGTGGGGATGAAGACGACAACTCCCATGATTCCACACTCAGTCACTGCGTCATCAAACTACGCCTTTGTCTATTTGTTTATTTTGAATACGCACCCTCTAGCGGCGAAAATTACATAGTGCCTTTAAAGGGATAGTTCACCCAAAAATTAAAATTCTGTCATCATTTACTCACCCTCATGTCGTTCCAAACCTGTATGAGTTGCTTTCTTATGTTGAACACAAAAGAAGATATTTTGAAGATTGCTGGTAATCAAACAGTTGGTGGTTGCCATTGACTTCCACAGTATTTTGTTTTCCTGCTATGGAAGTCAATGGCAACCACCAACTGTTTGATTACCAGCAATCTTCAAAATATCTTCTTTTGTGTTCAACATAAGAAAGCAACTCATACAGGTTTGGAACAACATCAGGGTGAGTAAATGACAATTTTCATTTTTGGGTGAACTATCCCTTTAACTATTATTGTATTAATTTGTGTGTGTGCGTGTCTTTTTTTTTCAACTGAATGATATACTGTTACCTGTATACTTGTAAGGGTAGTGAACTGGTATGCCTTCACAACTGTGTAGTTGGCTTCTACATCCGTAAGAGCCATCAGAAAATACTTCCACCACTTTGTTTTTAGAATTTGAACAATATTATTTTCACCTAAATTATAAAAAATAAAAAAAACTGATTAATTCAATAAAAATATAAGCCATATCTTTTGTACTAGCTTGCATTTCTGGAGGAAAGCTACCTAACAAGGTTTTTATAAGTAGTACATTTTAATTTTGCATGTTGATGAGAATCAATAAATAATTTAAAGGGGGCATAACACACAGTTTCACCCAATCTCATGTTAATCTTGAGTACCTATAGAGTAGTACTGCATCCTTCATATCTCCAAAAAGTCTTTAGTTTTATCATATTTATAAAAGAAAGATTTATGATTTACGCTTTACGATTCTCTCCGGAAACAGCCGAGCTGGAGGCGCGCCTTGGGTGGAGCTAAAGATTGACGAGCAGAGAGCACTTGAGCTCCGACTGCCAACAAAACACAGACATTTGATGCAGTTTCACTTACCGTCTGCAGTTCTGAATCATGACCGGGATCTTTTATAGCTGGGACCGCTCTATCTTTCAGTATCAAACGATGTGCTAATCCAGCGTCGAACTGGGCCTTGTTTATAAAACGTTCGTCAACAAACACGCTTGTGAAAATCCGTTGCTGCTCCGGAAAAACAAACTGCATCCACTGTTTACATAATGTTGGGTTCTTTAGGAGGCTGAACAAAGTTATCTTTCCTTTACAACCAAAAACACTTCTTTGGAGACATTCTTCCCGAGCGAGTCCCGTGCAGCGCTGCTGAATGAAGCGCGTTGATGGGCGTGCTCTTGCTCTGGTCTATGCATGCGCTCTTCCGGAGAAATGCCCATATAAGGAGTTCCACCCTCGTTTACGTCATGAAGAGCCAAGATCGAAAAAAACTTCCCAAAACTTGTACAAACCCGGAAGTAAGCTTTTTAGCACAGAAATACTCCGTCATACATCCAAATAGTTTTTTTTTTATTTTGTCCATGCTTAGCATGAGAATCCAACTCTTTAACGGTGTAAACAACTCTGAATGCATGAAACAGCATTGTACCCCCCCTTTAAAGAATTTAATCCACAAGATAAGCCATGCAGGCATCCTGAAATAAGTAAGTTCATTTAAACTCTGAAGCAATGAGAAGCATGGTCATGGAAATGATATTCTGCCCTTCTAATCATTTGCTAAAAGCAGTGAGTTATTCCATGCAGGGAAGGTTTGCTGCAACGTACCTCTCCTGAAGGCTAAGACTAAAGTATAGGTGAGCAGCAGCAAGGTGTAATTGAGGAAGCTTTGCAGCATTGGCGTCTCCACCCCGGCATCTGCCAAATACTGACATGTAACTGCCGTCCCACATATCAGCATCGACAGGGCTTGACCCATTGCAATAGTTTTGCCGAACTGCCTGTAGGAACAATTCTTAAGTTACCACCAACGTGACAGCTGTAACTTCAAAGCATGAAACATTTTAAAACAGAGAGATCTTTAACATACAGTACCATGTAAACATATTTTTAAACTTGAGATTACGTGGACCACAAAGAAATCTCCCCCAGCGGCTGAGAGCTCCCAATCTTCCATGTTCAAAGGAGTTCTCTCCCACTTCAGGATCCATATTTCACACATAGACACCTAGAAAATCCAGAGCAAATGAAAAGAACTTTAGTGAAAGTCACAGGCCTTGATGTTGGATAACATCTAGTTATTAATGGTGGAAATAATCTTAATCTCTTTAGGAATTTATGCACAATAATGTTGACCTCAGGAGGGCCTTTTTAATAAAAAAATGCCATTCCTTGCTTAATGTCACTTAAAGGTCATAAAATAAAAAGGAACTCAGCCTTTTTTTAATACTCACCATGAAAGTGTATAATATTATATAAAGAAAACCTATACTGACTTGATAAAGACATATAAAAGCCTCTACACAAAAAAATATGATTTAAAATACTAAAGATCACCATGTAGCAATTACAAATCACTTTAAAATAATTTTAAATAAAGACTTTATTTAAAAAAAATCAACATAAGCCTGATATAAATTGCTGAAGCCTTTAAAAAAATAAAATAGGTTCAAGTCTGAGTGAATAACTTGTATGTGTATGAATACAATTAGTGTTGTTTACATATTCAAACTAGAGCTTCGGCCACAAATGCGGAACATCTGAGAAGCTGTTGGTTGTAGAGCAGCAGTTCTCAGAGCACGTGGCGACCTGTCAGGAACTTTAGACAATGTAGGACACAGCAAATTGTTTATTGATCACAAAGATCAAAATAGGATGAACTCAGTAATAGTAAAGAATTAATTATTTTGCGTTTTAGGCTAAAAGCTGTGTAGCTTCATTGCAAAAAGCTAATCTAATTAATGTTACCTTCTTAAGAGTTAGCCATGCTGTTAGCTAGGCTAAAAAACAAAACAAAACACAACGTCACGTGTTTACAAGTTAAAGAATAAAACCAAGCGTCTGGTAAATACCTTGATCCGTCATGTCCGTAGTTTACGAATTATCCGCTAAAATTCGACCACAGTATTATCTTTCAATGAAAGCGAGGGATTCATAAATGCACTCGGACAATTTAAAGCCCCGCCCATTTCCCCAAACAACCAATGGGAGCTTCTTCTTCTTTTCTTCTTTCCAGTTTAACGGCGGTTGGCATCCAACCAATGGCAGCTTACTCTTTATTAAATTGTGACCAATGGCAGAGACGCATGCTGTTTACGACTACACGGAAGTTGTGTGCACTGAACATGTATTTGGTCTCCTACATCGATTAGAAATTTACTTCATTTGTTATAAAGACTAATAGTTTTGAAATTCCCATATTTAACAGCTGTTAAACTTATTTCTAGCGATGATTAATGAGAACTGAGATTTCGAGACGAGTCTGTATCTGCAGCTTCAGTTGCAGCTGCTCGGCCTTCGGATTGTTATGGGAAAGATCCTATCGTGTCCTTGGACAGAGAACTGGCTCCAGATTATCACTATTATTCACACAGTAGTTATGATTCACTCCTTAATATAATCTGGGTGAGAAGTAACTCTCAAGGACAGGCCATTTCGTATGACCCTGCTCGATTAAATGTGAATGTGTCTTATTTATTCAATATTTATCACACTGGCAGTACCTAATGGCGTGATGATAAAAGCAAACGTGTCGTCCTACATCAAAAAAAAAAAATTAGTATGCGCAGAATAACGTTAGAAAGCTATGTAGATGCATTCATTGACTGCTCCTTTAATTTAAAATGTGTCTTTTCATTCTTTATTTTATTCCTTCTTTCTTTCTATAAAATATAAGTAATAAAATGAGAATGGAAAAATGAATAAACAGCAGTACCAGTGCTGCTGATGCAGCCTGTCGCAATGCTCCCTAGCAACCAAACCTCCTCAAACATCGCGAGACTGCACGGGGACTAAGTTGAAGAAACATGGCGACGTCTAATTTATTGAAGGTAGGAGGTCCCTGAATGTGAGAATATTTTGCATCGTTTGCGTCTCCCGTAATGTTATGACAGCGATCCCATGACCCAGTCACTGTCCGCTTCTAATTGCATCGCTAAACATGACGCGTTGACTCAAAACGACATTGTTCGAATTGCGGATTGTATATAGTGGGGTTTTGTACTATTATTATAATGTTTAGGGTTCAGAGCTGTATTTAAGGATGCCTTTTCTCACAAAACGTACTGCTATCTATCATAAGGCTGCATAAAAAAAATGATGAGAAAATATAAATACATGCGTATTTTTTCCTGAACAAAGTTGCAACATTGCAGATGATTTAAATGCTACATTTATTCAGCCTGTGCATATTTATGTCAAACCTGAAGCTGACCTGGTGCCTCTGGTTTCTAATCACACAGCTATAATAATCTGTCTACATATATTAAATAGAAATTTACCTTCTGTTACTGTTTTGTTTGAATACTTGACACAAAGTAAAATAATCAAAATTCTCCTGTCTTCTTTCTTTTTTATAAATGCATAAAGCCTATGATCATTTTAAATAAATGTTTATGGTCCTCGTTCTCCTTTCTCAGAATAAAGGCTCCCTGCAGTTTGAAGACAAATGGGATTTGATGCGGCCCATTGTTTTGAAGCTGCTCCGTCAGGAGGCAGTTACTAAGCAGCAGTGGTTCGATTTGTTCTCGTAAGTTGTCTTCGATGTGAGATAGTCTGGGCTGACAGAAATATCAAGAAGTCAAAGTACATTAGACTGATGTGTTTTTTTTTTTTTTAATTAAACTGACGGCAGTGTTTGGGTCTGATGGTCAATAATATCAATCAGGACTAACAAGAAGTCTTAAACCATAGTTTACATTGCTTAAATGTTACACAACGAATACAGTCAGATTTAAGACTTTCTCTTAATACTATGTTTGATTTGCAGAGATGTTCATGCAGTGTGTTTATGGGACGACAAAGGCCCGGCAAAGATTCATCAGGCACTGAAAGAAGACATCCTAGATTTCATCAGGCAAGCACAGGCAGTACGTACTGTATATCATTTTTGCACATAAAATAATATGAAGTAAATTCATTTTTTCTGCCTTATTCCTGTAATCCCAAATGTTTCAATGCATATTGTTTCTATTCTTACTCTTTCTGATCTACTTCAGCGAGTACTCAGTCATCAGGATGACACTGCTTTGCTTAAAGCTTACATTGTGGAGTGGAGGAAGTTCTTCACACAGTGTGATATTCTACCTAAGCCCTTCTGCAAGTTGGAAATCACCCTGCTGGGCAACCAGGGGAGCAATAAGAAGTCCAATGTTGAAGACAGTATTGTTAGAAAGGTGGATTCTCTTTCTGCATTTTGACCGTATACTTCACATCAATTTATATTATATTGCCTTATTATTTAATTGCAAATATTATTGTAACAACTGATGCATAACATTATCAATATACAAATTTATCCTAATCATTTGTTGTTTTATTTTTTGCTTAAGCTTATGCTGGACACATGGAACGAGTCTATATTCTGTAATATAAAGAACCGGCTCCAGGACAGTGCCATGAAACTGGTCCATGCTGAGAGATTAGGAGAAGCGTTCGACTCGCAGCTTGTCATTGGAGTGCGGGAGTCATATGGTAAAGCTCTCATAAAACTAAGCAACTCGGGTTCTGTCCAGATGGACCTCTCCTGATGGACGCCCCTGTCCTCTGCTCTGTCTTACAGTGAACTTGTGTTCCAACGCTGATGACAAGCTCCAGATCTATAGAGAGAATTTTGAGAAGGCATATCTAGATTCCACTGAGAGGTTCTACAAGACACAAGCACCTTCCTATCTGCAACAGAACGGCGTTCAGAACTATATGAAATATGTGAGTGTGTTTTCAAACTGCTGTATTGCCTAAACTAGAAAAATGTGGGTGACACTAGTGCAAGTCAAAACTACTGTAATTTTACAGCTTTGAAGTAAACATTTTAATATACTAATTATTTATGAATTAACTTGTTATATTTTTTTATTTAATAGTGCAGTATTACAATGAAAGTGCAATTCTGTCTTAGAAACAATATTATTATTATTAATTTATTATTATTATTATATAATCACATTCAGTTAATCCCTTTCAGTTATAAAATTAGTAGTGCTGTCAAACGATTAATCGCATCCAAAACAAAAGTTTTTGTTTACATAATATATGTGTGTGTAATGTGTATATTTATTATGTATATAAAAATACACACACATGCAGTATATATTTTGAAAATATTTACATGTATATATTTATATTCATATAATTTATATTATATATAAATATATTTAATATATGAACATAACGTTTTTCTTAAATATATGCATGCATGTGTGTGTATTTATATATACATAATAAATATACACAGCACACACAAATATTATGTAAACAAAAACTTTTATTTTAGATGCGATTAATTGCGATTAATCGTTTGACAGCACTAAAAATTAGTAAAGTATTTTCTTAACTTACATACTGTTCAAGTTTTATGCGTATAATGTTGTGGCAGGTTTTTCCTGTAGTATCAAAAATGGTATGGAATAGCAATATTTTTCAAGGTATTATATTGAAGTTCAAAAATTAGTATCGTGACAAGACTTCAGATTTCTAACAAGCTTTTATGTGTATGAATGGTAAATCACAGCACATCTCTGAAGTGTCACAATATTTGAGAGTTGTTCATCTCAGGTGGCACTTTTGATTGACAGGCAGATGGCAAGTTAAGAGAAGAGGAGAAGCGTGCACTTCGATATCTGGAAACCAGACGTGAATGTAACTCCGTCCAGGCAGTGAGTGTTCCCTGCTCCAAAACAAGACCCTGTGGTGCTGCATTATTAAATAATGCTCAGCGTGTAGTTTGCATTTGTCTTTCTCACTTACTAACATTGGGTGCTCGGTTTGTGTCTTTTGCGTTCTTCCAGCTAATGGAGTGTTGTGTGAATGCGCTGGTGACGTCGTTCAAAGAAACAATCCTGGCTGAGTGTCTGGGAATGATCAAGCGGAATGAGACAGAGAGTGAGTACGGCAGGAGCTCTGGCACCAAAGGCTCAGCGAGTTCAGGTTGGCAATGGGATACGGTTCCCATCTATATCTTGCCAAAACCTCCCCACCCATCCCACCATCTGTGTGTTTGTGTGCCAATCATTGAGTCCACCAACCCATTTCAACTATAAACAAATGCAACAGTATGCAACTATCGTATGTAAAGGGAAGGAAATGCCAAATGTTTGCATCAGCAATACCTAGTTTAACTCATTTGGCTTTTATATAGGATCATGATAACAGCATTTTTTAATGTTTTGATGTTTTAATGTTACTAAAATGTGTTTGTTCTGCCATTGGTGTGTTTCCGCAGAGCTGCACCTCATGTTCTCGCTTATGGACAAAGTGCCCAGTGGTATTGAGCCAATGCTGAAGGACCTGGAGGATCATATCATGAGCGCAGGTCTGGCTGATATGGTGGCCTCAGCGGAAACCATTACCACAGTGAGTTGAGACAGTAGCTGCTTTTCGTTATCAGACAGATGCATCATGGATATATGTGTCCAGTTTTTGATAGTGCAATCACTGAATGATCTAGATAATATATAATATGTTGCTGACATTTGTTTTATTTTTGCAGGACTCTGAAAAATATGTTGAGCAGCTCCTAACATTGTTTAACCGCTTTAGTAAATTAGTTAAGGAAGCATTCAAAGATGATCCACGTTTCCTAACAGCCAGGGATAAAGTAAGTCTCAAAAGGATTTATCCTTTAGTCCAAACCATTCACTGTAAAGTTTTTAGATTTATTGGATAAAATATTATTGCAATCTAATTATATAAACTATATACATAATGTATAATATACGTTACTGTTCAAAAGGTGGGGGCAGTAAGTTTTTTTTAGATTTTTTTTTAAGTTGTTTTTTAATTAAACATGGATGCTTTAAATTGATTAAAACTAACAGTTTTAATCGCAATCAATGCACTTATAATGTTACAAAAGATTTCCATTTTAAATAAATGCTGTTCTTTTGAACTTTCCATTAATAAAAGAATCCTTAAAATATATTAAATGTTTTCAACACTGACAATAACAAATGACTCTTTAGCACCA